GCCAGCTGAAGCTCCTGCGGAGGGCAGAGCCCATTGAGCTTATCTGACCCGTGTTTAGGGATTCTCAGGAAAGGCCTCAACACCCAGGCTATTGCACCAACAAGATTGTTGTCCAGCACGCAGCTCTGAGCCTGTCCCCGGTCACCTGCATTCTGGCCTCAAGCCCCACTCCACACCTCAGGGGTCCTGAGCCCCCTCCCAGGGAGACTGTGGCAGCCTGGGGAGTGAGCTTCTCAGGTGCTCTCCTCCCTGGCTTAGACTCTCATGCTTGCTTACTGTTTCCTCCCACTCCTCTCATTCCAGACCTAGTCTTTTAGTTGTTAGGGATTTTACAGTAGTGTGAAAATTATTGTGGAAGTCATTGCTCTAGTCTGGCATGGTGGACATGCCTCGAATCTCAGCAGTCAGGACTCGGAGATATGAGGATTGCCAGTTCAAGGCCAAGTGGGACTATGTAAGACACTATCTCAAAAAAAGTACATGTAGGGGGTCATCACTCTGCCATTGACTTTGTTCACCTCGATGCCTGTATGGCTTCTGCACAAGTCTCAGAACTTCTGTGTCCCCCACTGGAGGAAGGCTTGGCGTTCAGCTCCTCCGCCAGGGATCGCTGTGTGGCTCAGCTCAATTCCACTGTCCTTTCTCTTCCTCAGAGAATAGTTGAGCCGCGAATGCTTCCCAGCTCTGATCTGAGAAGCAGAGGCCTCTTGGCTGAATGATGGTGCCTCCTCTCGCTGACGGCCAGCATCCTTGATCCCTGTGGCATCCTGCAGCAGACCTAACCTCTCGGGGCATCTCTGTCCTGGAGCAGGGCCGAGCTCAGCCCAGAGCACCAGAGCAGGGAGGAGCTCTCTCACCAGATGTTTTCAGCCAGAGAGGAGCTGGGGGTGTGGTGGGGTCTGCAGAGCGCCTGACAGGCTGCATTCTATGCTCCAGGCCTCCGCCAGGTAGGCAGACGCACATTAGTTCCCCCAGAGCAGGGAACTCAGCCCCCAGAACTAGGGCTCCAGCTCAGGGCTGTATCTGCTGCTCCCGCTCTGGCTACAAGGGACAGTAGGCTGTCTCGCTGTGCTTTCTTGTTGCCATCTTCAAGAAACCGCTGAAGAGCTCACATACTTGCAGACACACTCCTGTAGTTCCTACTTGGGGCTCATGCAGGAAGGCTGCTTGAGCGCAGGAGCTCAAGACCAGCCGGGGTGTGTAATATAATGACACAGAAAGTCCATTACAGAAGTGGTAACACCCTCCTGCCCAGCTGGCCCCACTGCTTCTTTTTCAGTCCTAGAAAACACCTTTTCCATTAATCTCCCCAACTCCAGCCTGCAGGGGCCGGCTGCATGCTAGGTTCCGTCACCTGGCTGTTTGTGTACTGGTGTCCCTAGGAGTCAGCAGGGAGCTCACTGGCCGGTAAAGGACCAGGACCAAATCACTTTACCCACCCTCAGGTTCCAGCCGACTCGGTATTTTCTATTTATAGGGACTCGGGGTGGGGCAGGGAATTCTAATATTTGAATCTTCAGAGAACACCAGTGTAATAGGTCAGTGTGTCCTGAAGCTGTGAAGAAAATGAGGGCCATGTTTTGAATTGGCTGGAAGCAGAACCTTTTAAACAGTCCCTTTCCATACCCTCTCCTCCTGCACCCCTAACAACTGGCTTTTTCACTTCTGCTTTTCCCACTCATAACTGGCCTACATATGGCTTTGGTTTGCCACGGCCCTATTTTGAATTCACGGCATCCTTATTTTTTTTTCAGTTCTGGTAAATTCTCTCCCTGAGATTTAGGTCAACTCCCAGTACATGACCAGCCTAGGGACTCACTGCTCTTGAATCCGGTGTCCACTGTAGCCCAATCAGCTGTGAGTTCATGGGTCATATGGTTCCAATCATGGCTGCTTAAGCAGGATAGTCCACAGTGGAGGGGTTGGAGGTATACTGGGGGCTGGAGTTACTCATGACAGGAATTCAGACTCATGAACTGTCTTAGCCACCAACTAAAAATTGGGGATGAATCACATTGGAGGAAGATATTGCACAAAAGAAAAAGATTTTATTATTACTATGCCCTGGATGAAGTGAGGGGTACAACATAAGACTGTGTTCACAATCCACCACAGAGCTTCAAAAGTTGTTTCAAAGACTGGCCAGACTTCAGGCCAGCGACCCTTCCCCCAGCCCCTGCTACCTTGGCAGATACAGATGCCATTGTTTCAGGGACGCTTGGCTGGGGCATCTGAGTCCTCCCGCTATACGGACCTTGTAAAACTGCTATTCAGGGGAACTTTGTAGTTTGAGGCAAAACCCAGAGCCAAATGAGAGCTTCTAAGCCCCCTGCCTGGGACACTTCCCCGGAACATTTGGGCTTGTCACACATTCCTGGAGGGAGCGGCAGCACAGCTGCAGCTACAGCTGCCAGGAACTGGCTTGTGTGGGGGGAGGGCAGAGGCTGCTGGCCTTCTCCTGGGCCCCTGAGTGAGCTCACTCCATCCTCATATTACTGATTTTATCCACCCAAGGCCGCTTGGCCCAGAGCCCAGGCATTGCGAGGGGCTGTCTCCCACATCAGCCGGCCACTTAGCAAGGGTGGGAAGGGCACGCCAGGCCTAGCTGAACTCCCCAGCAGCATACTGAGCTTTGAAATGCAGATGAGTTCAAGAAAAAAAGGTGTGTGTGGGTGGCAGGGGTGGAGGTGGTACTGTTGTTTGGTATTTAAAGACAGAAAATGCAAGGAAGTAAAGTTATTTTCTCCATTTGTTCTTTGGCAATCCTATTAGAGCACCTCGGGAGGCATGCAGGGTGACATCATGTGTTACAACTGAGAAAACTCCGTGATTCTGTGACATGGAGCCCCAGGCTGCTCTACGCCTCCAATGCCAGCTACTTTATATTATGTGTTTAAAGCTATGTCACATCAAAAGGCAGGTTTAATATTCAAATATCTACCAAAAGTAGATACAATGCATGAAGATCACATAAACAAACTTCACATCTTGGGATCACAAATATTTGGAATACAAAATATCCAAGGATGAATATTAGAAGTAAGAAAGGTACAAAAGAAGTATGCTTTTAAAAAATAACAAAAAAATTTAAAAACTGATACCCTCCCCAAATCCAAATAACTGTGGTCTGGGTAAACCTCCGGGTAGAGGCTTCAGCTGCTGGTCATTCCTTTAATATCAACAAGCTGTATATCCAAGCATGTGTACAGATGCCCACATGTATCACACACAGGCACATACATCCTCGGGGACGGACGCGAAGCTGGGCTCTCATGGTTCTAGGGCACTTCAGATCCGTGTTCTTAGTCTCGCACCTTCCTGTTATGTTTGGCAAGTTACTTCTTTAGAGGCAGAACATTTTCTTCAAAGAAGCCCTGGTTGACAACATTCCCTGCTGGGAAGTATCTGGCCACCACGAAGGAGGACCCATCGCTTGCAGATGCCTTCCCAACTCCTATCTTCTTTGTATTCTTCCACACCATGGCTGTGAAGTGTCCTGTAAGAAACAGGCAGAGGGACAGAGGGCAGCAGATGAGTTAGTGGAGACTTGAGAGAGATGTCCTGAGCAATTCCTGAGCCCTTGCCCCATCCAGCCAGGCTTGGCAGCTTGATCTTAGCAAATACCAATCAGAGGAAGAAGGGGCAAACACACCAACTGCCCTGTTGTTTTGTGAAACAGGGTCTCGCTATGTAGTCCAGCTTAGCTGGCCTTGAATTCATGATGTAGCCCTGGCTGGCCTCAACTCTCAGCGGTCTTCCTGCCTCAGTCCCTAAAGTGCTGGGATTACAGTACAGGTACGTGCCACCACACATGGCTCAACGATCAGACTGTGTGCGTGTGTGTACGGTCTAGGGATTGAACCCAGGGTCTTTGCTCTGAGCTACATCCCCAGCCATTTTTAAATCCTGAAGCAGCGTCTTGCTAACTCATTACATTACCCAAGCTGGCTTCAAACTTTTGACCCTCCTTCCTTTGCACCCCAGATTATACGCATGCATCACCATACGGTCATCAACAGATTTTTAAAGCAAGTCCTTTCAATCAGCCACAGCCACCTCAACACTTTCTAGTGGTCTCCCAGAGATCACTGCAAAGCCTACTGATCCCAGCAACTAGGATGCTACCCTTCCCCGAACCTGCTTCTCACCCACCCCTAAACTTCAGCCTGTCAATAATCTCCGCATGACTCTTCAATGGTCACTTTTTTTTTTCTCCCAGTGCTAAGGATTGAACCCAGGATCTTCACACTGAGCTACACACCCAGCCCTCTGTAAATTTTAAGGTGGAGTCTTGCTAAACTGCCTAGTGAAGGCTCAAACTTGCAATTCTCTGGCCCTGGCCTCCCAGACTGCCAAGATCACAGACGTGCAACACCATACCCAGCCCAGTGGTTGTTTCTTGTCCTCGTCCTGACACAGGAGCATTTACTACAGCTGACACCCACCCCAGCCCTTTTCAAAGCACTCTGCCGTGGGCTGTTGACACTCCTGTCTCACTGCTGCCTCTGTTGCCCCACCTCTGTGCCCCTTATAACGTTCCTTAGTCCTGGTCTCACTTCTCTCTACACTCTTGTTTAGGTGAGTTTATTTTTCCCCGCTCCCAAATTTATTTCTCCAAGTCAAAGCCCTGTCCTGTGTTCCGGGCACAATGGCTTACTGGATATTCCCACTTGGACGACTCACAGGTACCTCAGACATAATCCACCTAAGACTGACACACAACCTGATCCCCTCAGATTAACGCCTCCTCCTACCCTCCCTCTTGCATCAGCAGTGCCTGGTGCCCTCATCCCCAGAGGCGGGCTGCACCCTCCCTTTCCTGGATATTCCCCTCAGCAACCTATCACTCAGCCCTGAAGAATTCAGCTTTCAAGGACAGCTCTCTAATCTTTCTCCTCCAAATCCTTGGTCCCAACCACAAAGGTTTCTTTTTTGGGACCACTGTATGAACTGCCTGACTAGTACTCGATGCCCGCCTTGGCCCCCTGCAACTCATTTTTCACTTACTCAGCCAGTTATCATTTTGAGAACAGGTATCATATCCATTGACTTTCCTGCTTTTCCTGATAAAAATCCTTCACACACTTCCAACTGCACCTAGAGTGAAAGGTGGCCTCCTTTCTGTTCATTAAACACGGTGATGCACACCTATAATCCCAGCACTCAAGAGGCGAGGGCAGGAGGATGTGACTTTGAGGCCAGCCTGGGCTATATAGTAAGACCTTGTCTCCAAAACAAAACAAAACAGGACCAAAAAACCCCAAGCAAAACACCAGGCTGTTTCCCACAGAAGCAATATACTGGTCACTATGCAAAGCTCTTGTGATGACCAATCGTTTCCCAGGCTAAAAACAGCTCTTATTCAAAGAAGCCCTTTTAATCATCCTTTTATTTACTGAGCACTTCTCACACTTGGGTAACTCTCTGTGTTGTTTCTGGGCATGTAGAGTGGTCCGGCTCATCTAGCTCACTACTACATCTAGCTCACTACTAGACACAATGGCAGATCCTCAAAAAGTTAAACATAGACTTACCTTAGCATTCAGTCATTCCACTTCTGGGTGTAAAAGTAGTAGGTACCAGCGTTAGGAAGGACAAACAGTTATTGTTTAAGAGGTATAAGTTCCGGTTTGTAAAAAAGAGCTGGCCACAGTGGCACACACCTGTAATCCCAGCTCTCTGGGAGAGTAAAGCAAGCGGGTAGCAAATCTGAGCTCAACCCCAGCAATTCAGCAACTCAGTGAGATTCAGTCTCAAAATAAAAAGTAAAAAAGGCCTGAGGATGTAGCTCAGTGGAAAGTACCTGGGTTTAATCCCCACTTTAAAAATATTTTTGGAAAAGGTTCTGGAAATAAATGGTTGCATAATGTAAATGTATTTAATGTCACTGAACTGTACACTTAAAATGGTTAAAATGATAAGCTTTATATTATGCATGTTGTACTATAAAATTAAAGAGATGTGATGGTTGTCTTAATTGGCAAGCTAACTGGCTCAAGAGTGGCTAGGAAATTAGCAAAGCACGCTTCTGGGTGTGTCTTTGAGGGCGTTTCCAGAGATGTCTGAGACGGCAAAGTCAGCGGCGAGCCAGCCCTGAATGTGGGTGACACCATCCAAAGGGTGGGGCCCAGGCAGAAGAACGGAGGAAGAAGAAGGGAGCCGGCGAGCACGGTCTCTTTCCCTCTCTCCGTTTCCTGGCTGCTGCGAAAAGGTCAGCTTTCCTCTGCCATGCCGCTGTCCCAAGCCTAACATCAACGGGGTCAAGTGACCATGGACCGAGACCTCTGAATCTATGAGACAAAACAAATCTTTCCTCCTTTAAGACTGACAGATCAAGTCTAGCCTGTGTAATTTAGTGAGAACCTGTCTCAAAATTAAAGGGGCTGGGGTGGGAGATGTAGCTCACTACATCATCGTAGGCCCTGGGTTCAAGTCCCAGTACTGCAAAACAAAAACAAAAATAGCAAACAGAAATAGTAATTCATAGCAACAATATGATACAACTGAAGCGGGGACAAAAATACACCCTAAGTACGATTCTACACTGTCATCACGGAAGGCAGCTGGACCTCTGCTCAGTGAACTGGCTTCCCACTCTGAACAGAAGGACCCTTGCCTCTTGCCTGGTCCTTAGTGCCGCTGGCCACAGCTGCAGGCAGCTGGCAGCTCCGCCTGGGGTGACTGCTCCTCTGGGCCGCCTCGGGGGCAGGGCTCAAGACCTTCCTTCTCCAGAGAGTCCACACGCGTGACCACTGACCACGCCTCTCTCGGTCTCTCAGAGAAATGAGCCCTCCATTTATCCAATGGCTGCCAAGAAAATTATAGGGTACAAGCTCATGTCAACAGCATAAATGCTGCTGGCAGCTTTTTCCAAACAGATATGACTAAGTAATCTTTCCTCTTGCTGAGGTTTCTTTCTGCACAGAGATAATTAAATTAGGGCCATTTAGAGATTAATTAAAGGATACCGCTCCCTTGCAACCATCAGATACACACTGGTTTCTAACTCTAGTTTACTAACAGTTCCTTTTTCTTTTCGTAAAGGATCACATCCTCTTTCTTGACATGAGCTCAAACTTCCCAGAATATGCCTTTGAAAAACACACCGTATAAATTACAGTATATCTTTGCAAAGGAATAATGTGCACTGACTGTTAAAACTGTATTTTACTGATGTGAAACAATTTCTGACAAGTGTGAAGCAGGTCACATACTCTGACATTAAAGTATAAAAAAGGGAAAAGGAGAACATATACACACTCATGCTGACGTAAGCTCAGATAAGTAGAATAAAAAGGTAGGCATGAGTCACAAATGTAATCCTAGCACTCAGAAGGCTGAGGTAAGAGGATTGCAAGTTTGAGGCCACTCTGTGCTACATAGCAAGATAGTCTCAAAAAAACAAAAAAGGAAAAAAAAGATATACAAGAAACTGCTAAGCCGGGCATGGTGGCGCACACCTGTAATCCCAGCACTGGGGAGGCTGAGGCAGGAGGATCACTGAGAGTTCGAGGCCAGCTTGCGCTACATAGTGAGACCTTGTCTCAAAAAAACAAAAACAAAAACAAAGAAAAGAAAAGAAACTGCCTTCACTGGTTACCTCTTGGAAGGAAAGTGTCAAGAGGTTAGAACTTATGTAGCTTATACTGTATTGTTTTCAAATTCCATTATTATTTAAAAGGGTTACTCATTCAGAATAAATAAACAAACCTGCTCATTTAAACAGAATATGGCAAAGTAAGCATAAGAAATGTTTTTCTTTACCCTGCACAGAGCAAGGCTCAGAGTCCATCATAAAATGCTGGGCGAGTGGGCTGTGCGTGCAAATGTGCTTTGGAGTACGGTGTCTCAAAGGCCCTTTCATCTAGCAGATGGACTCAGGGAAGAAAATCCTACACGACGGAGCAGCACTAGGCTGAGGCAGGGTGGGCATGATGCTTCTGAGCAGGCTTAAAGCCCGTGTCTTGGGCTTAGACTCTGTCCATCCACAGCACTGTCCACCGGTACCTGGGACGGCACCAGGCTGGCTTCCTGGGGCTTTCCCCTTACACAGCAGAGACGCAGGGTGACTGGGCAGTCAGTCAGTGATCACGGGGATTTGAGCTCCATTCCCAGCTCTGACTCTTGCAAAATTCCTGCCTTGAAGCAGGGGCCATGGAAGAGGCATCCGATCAAGGGCAGAAAGCATAAGAAAAGCCTCTTGCCCTTCACAGGCCTCAGTGTCCTCTTCAGCAAAACGGCAGAACGCAGCCCTGCTCTGCAGCGGTGCGCGCGAGGCTGGTGTGTGGTGGTAGTGCAGGCTCCGTTACTACGTGCTGGTGTGCAGCAGCACGGCCAAGAGCTCACGCCCGCTCACATCTGACGGCTCAAGAACCTGGTTCGCGGGAAGGGTAATTCCAGAAGCTGTGAGATACAACCTCTCTGCGTCTGTATTAAGGGAAGACGGGCTCTGCCTGCACACCCTTAACCACAGCGCCCTGCTCCACCACTCTGCGGCAAGGTCCGCTCTCGCTTGAGGTCTGTGCAGCTAACGGGGAGGAGCGTGCCTGGAGCCCTAGCCACGTGTCGCAAGAACCCTCCTCTGAAAGAGCGAGCAGCCAGCCACAGGAAACTGGCACTGGCTCTGCAAATGTCACTTCCTGCTTCTGAAGAAACCCTGCTGAGGGGAGGAGGCCCAAAGTGACTACCTGTGGGTGGGAAGGTGGGGAGAGGGGATGGAGAAGGCCAACAGTTCCCGGATGCCTTCCAACCAGACTCACACGCCCTCTGACCCCACCCTGGCACCAGGCAGAGTCTAAGTCAGTTCTGAGGAAAGACAGGCACCTGGCAAGGTCAGCCAAGGGCAAGCGGAAGCCCGGAGCACAGGGCGGCTGCCTTGGGCTTTGTTTTTATGGACTGACTTGAGGTCCTGGGCATTGAACTCTGGGCCTTCACATGAGCCGCATCACCAGCCCTTTTTTATTTTGAGACAGTCTAGCTAAGTCCAAAGTTGCCCAGGCTAAGCTTAAACTTGGGATCCTCCTGCCTCAGTCTCCCAGTGTGCTGGGATTACATGTGTGTGCTATAACAACTGGCTTGCCCGGACTTTAATATGCTGATGTTTATCACTCATCCTGGAAGAGGCCTACTGGAAAGGCAGCTGTCCCCACGAAGGCGCCTCCCCGCACCTGAATCACTAGCTCTGACCCCCATGAAGGCGCCTCCCCGCACCTGAATCACTAGCTCTGAGAACGCTCCTTAGAAACCACCGCTGCGACCGTCTCCCTCGGACAGGGGAGTGCGGGAAAGGAGAGCCTTGCCCCTGCTGAAGACTGACGTCCAACCTACAGCCTTCCCGGGGCACTGGCAGCCCCGACACTCACCAGTTCCTGAGGTGAAGCCAGGCTGCTGGAAGTTGTAGTTCTTGATTTCACTGTACCAGCGGTCAGCCACCTCCTTTCCTGTACAGAAAAACCACTCAGCGACAAAATGCACCCACTCTGTCATCCCCCGTCTTCTGCACAGACCCATACCACCTACCCCACAGTTAGAGGTCTGGGAGAGCCCCTCCTGAAGACTCACGGCACATCCTGGCTGAGGAGAGAGCCCCAGTGGACGCTCGGAAGAGCTTCTGGCCTGGGCTCCAAGGTCTGGGGGCAGGGGCCTGCAGCAAGGTCCCTGACCTCTGTGCAGTCAACAAGAAGGCTGAACGCGGGCAGCACACTCTGAAGGCCTCATCACGCTCAGCGTTTCTGGGAGACTCCCTCACCCCACCCTTGTCTGGCTCACGAAATACCCGTGCCCAAGGTCTCCACCGCACAGGAGAGCGCCCGCCTGGGGCATCTACTGCCCGGCAGGTGGCAGCAAGAGGAGGCCCTTGCAGGACCGGAGGACCACAGTGGAGCTCAAGGGCAGACAGGAAGTCCTAAGCTTTACTGTGAACGGGAGTCACGTGGGGATCTTGTCCAAACGTAGCGTCCAACTTCAGGAGATTGGATTTGAGCAGCCCATGCTTCTGCGTTCTAGCAAATAACTGATGCTGCTGCTGGTCCACAAGTCACACACCAGCCTCACTTAGCACCATTTTTAAAAACTGGGGGCTGGGTCTTTCCTCAGAATGGTTGTCACAGTCTCTCTGGAGGAGAGACTCAGGCACTGGAACTTTCTAAAAGGTCTGCATAACAGTCTTACAGACTACCTAAGGCAACCCCTTCGCTATAGAGGTGAGGAACCAGGGCCATAGAGGGGAGTGACTTGATCGAAGTGCCCCAGGGACCCAGGGGAAGGCCAGGAAGGAATTGCATCTCCTGACTGCCTGCTCGAGGCTCTTTGCATCCTGGCCTTTCTCCCAGGCTGGTCAGAAACTGAGTGTGTGGAAGCGGAGCCTCGGGGAGGGCTCCTGTTTCCCCAGAGGAGGCACACAGCTCCCCGGCAGGGGAGGCCTAGCTCAGCCTTGCTGGGAAAACCGAGAGGCCCCAGGGGCTCCCCTGGGATCTCCCAGGAATGTGAGGCAGTGGAGGGAGTGAGTCATTCTCCAGAAGGGGTTTAGAGAAAGCCTCAGGGTCAAACAGCCTTCTCTGATATTTTTCCTAAAAAGCCATTTCTGGGCTGGAGCAACAAAAAAGATCAAGAATGTTTGGTCAGTGTGGTGGGATTTTTCCAGACTGAGACAATGGAAGAACTGCCTTTCCTATTGTTTTCCCTTTTTCCCCCAACGGAAAAAAGCTCTAGCACTTTTCTCTGATTATAAAAGTAATATGCAAGCTCTGTAAAAAATAATTCAGAAAACTGAAGGAAGTAGTATTTCTCAATAGCTGGGAATGCTTTGACATAAGCAGAATCAGGCTGAGACACTGTCCAGAAACCGTCCTCTCCTGCCCCCGCTCCTCAGCCTGGGAGCTTCCGCAGGGGAGGCGGTCAGTGCGACTCACCCTGTGTCCCTGGCTCCTAGCGCTGCCTTGGCCGTGGGCCGGCCCTCAGGGCCGCTGTGGAGAACTGAGTCAGTCCTGGAGCACATACAAGAACCCTGGGTTTCCTTTCCCTTTCTGGGTCTGCAGCTATACACAGCTGGACCACGAGAAATGCTGAGGAGGCCCTGGCTTGGGCCCAGCTCCTGAAGCCTTGCAGGGGCCCGAGGAAGCGACCCACCTGTCTGATCGTATGATGCCCACGCGAGGTTCTCCCCACACTGGCCGCGACTGGACTCCGGGCTGTGCTTGAGGATCCTCGTGCTGGCCAAGGCTTCTGAATATCTGCCGGAATCCATGGTGTTTCCTCAGAAGAGGCACAGCCAGGGGACACCCCACACAGTGTCTGGGCCCCAGGCTGGTGTGACTGAGCTTCCTTCCTCTTGCCTGCCAGAGCTTGCAGAGGGCATAGGGAGCATCACACACACATGCCCTCTGGGCTCCCCAGCAGTCCTATTCTACGGAGCAGCAAACTGAGGCTCAGAGGCGCTGTGGGACTTGCCTGAGTAAGCGGCAGAGTGGTAGTCAGACCTGGTTCTAGCTGACCCCAACCCACATCCCTCCAACCACCCTGGGCCCCTCAGTGACCGCAGCATCAGCCCCGGGAAGGGCCTGAGCCCCTGGACTCTGGGGACTCACTGCTGGGCCTCTCGGTTGAGCTTCTGGCAGAGCTTCAGTGGGGGGACGCCGTGCTGCTGTCGGTACTCGTTGTGGGCCTTCAGGACCTCATTATTAAACTGTTTGGAAGCTGCAATGATGACGAATGGAGAATGGCTCAGTGTGGAGAAAAGAACCCTCCAAAAGCACAAGGCCCACTTCACTGGGAACCCGACACTGGGAATCTAAGCCGAAGGGCCCACCTCTTCACCGCTGCTCATCCTGCCGCCCTCCCTCCACGTCCCCGTATGTCTAAACCAATGGACTCTGTGCGGCCTCGGCCATGTTAGGGGTTTGGGTCTTTATCCAAGGCCACAGGAAGGCACTGGGCAAGAGCAAGACAGGGAGCTGACCGCACCGGCGTCTCTGAAAGACTCTGCTGGCCGCTGAGTTGCGGGGGTGGGAGGTGCAGAGCAGATGTTGAGGGGCTGGACAGTCAGCAACAGAGCTGCTGAGAGAGAGTCGGAGGGATCCTGGAAACCTCAGGCTAGATGTATGGGGAGCTGTCAGGGGCTGAAGTTGGGAGCCCCGAGAGAAGCAGCCTAGCTGGGGTGGAAGGAGTCTTGAAATCAAGACAGAAGAATAAAGAAAAGAGAATGCAGCCAGGTACAGTGGCACACAACTGTGGTCCTACTGACGTGGGAGGCTGTGGCCTAGAGGGTCACTTGAGGAGACCAGGCGTTTGAAGAGACCCCATCTCAGAAAAGAAAGGACGATGAGAGGAGGCAGCACTTGGGAAATGGAGGAGAGTGTGGGAAAGCAGGCAGTGGTGATGCGGATGAAGGACAGGATGTGACTGGCTGCGCCTGGGACTGTGATGAGGAAGCAGGTGCAGCCTCTGGCCAACTGGGCGACAACCTCAGAAAAGGTCTAGGGGCCTGGGGTTAAAGAGGAACTAGTGGGTGAAGCCAAGGGCAAGCAACATCAACAGTGGACAGCCAACAAATTTGGATCTACAATGGAACCCCAACCAACCAACAGCTTCTACATATCCATCCAACATCTATACCGAACCATCCATCCCTCCACCCAAACCTCCACCATTCATCCCATACTCATTCATCCACTGATTCATCCTTGTTCCATCCACCAGCCATACAATCCCCTCCTATTCATCTGTTCTTCTGTTCTTGGAGTACCTCCTACATGCCAAGCCTCACACTGTATGCTAGGGGTCAGAGACAAGTCAGCCATGTCTTGCCCTCAAATGTCCTCACAGCAGGGAGATGACCTTGTAAACATGTGGTAGAAGTGTGACAGGTGGAAGGAAAAGCCAGCGCACACTCTCCCGCGAGTCTTGACCCTTGCTCACATTCTTCTGTGCACCGTAGTTACGAAGGCCATTAAACCTGTCTACTGTACAAAGCATCCAGATCAGGGGTGTTCAGCCTCTTGCATAGAAAAACTTGCACAAACACAAGATGGACCAGTGACCACAGAGTCAACGGCCCAATTCTGAGAACAGAACGCCCTCAAGCTCTTCGTTCCCTTTACCGCCTTAAAAACCCTTCCTCTGTAAGAGCGATGTTTTGGGCATTTCAGAGCCAATGGCCCCTCTCAGGTCTGAGGAGAAGGTCCCATGGGAGTTCTCCTCTTTTATCCCTTGGCCAGAGATGGACCTTCAAGGCAAACATCGTGGGGCCTCTGAGGGAAGGAGACCCAGGGCTGGCCCCAGGAACCTGGGGTTGGCCACAGACGTGCAGAGGTGAAGAGCTACAGCTCCCGCCTGCAGGTGCCCTCAGACCTTCCAGTCAGAGGAAGCGGCCTGAGCAGACTGTGGGCGTGGGGTGGCTGCACAGGAACATGGGCAGGTGTGACAGGGAGGGGCTCTGACTCAGGATCTGCAAGGGTTAGCTGACAGGGAGAGGTGGGGGACCGCAGGAACCAGTGACGAGCAGGAGGTGGAGCCACAGGCTGAAGCCCTCAGGTCTTTGGGGCCAGAGGAGGGCCTCACCCTTGTTGACAGGAAAGATGAGGGTTTCAGGTCTCCCAGGGCAACAGGAAAAGGAGGTGATGTTTAATGGGTATAGAGTTTCAGCTCTGCAAGATTAAGAAAGTCCTGGAGCTGTTTCATAGCAATGTGAAACCACCGCTGAGACCACCACTAAGATGGTACATTTCATGTCATGTGTCTGGGGAAATGGGGGAGCCAGAGCTACTCACGGGACTTGGGGGCTCGTGGACAGTAGGTGGAAGAGCCAGCCGGATGGTGTGGCAGCCAGAAATCATGAGTTCCTGGGTGATGGGCAGCTTCACCCAGCTGGGTCCTGGCCTTGTTTGGTAAGAGGCAACCATCCGGCCGGTGTTCAGAGGCTGGTCTTGTGAGGACTGGTTGTCAGTTCTTTTTTTTTTGTCTTTTGAGACAGGGTCTCCTACACAGTTCAGGATGGTCTTGAACTCACTTTGTAGCCCAGGCTGGTCTCAAACTCAAAATGATCCTCCAGCCTCAGCCTCCCAAGTGCTGGGATTACAGGTGTGTGCTACCACATCTGGCTCTTGGTTGTCAGTTCTGAGTATGTTCACCCTGGAAAACTAGACTTCAGGAGACATGCAAGGGGTCTCCTGGTGAATTCTGGGACCCCAGTAGGGCAAAACTAGGGCCAATGGTAGAAAGGGTAGGATGAAAGATTTCAGCTTAAACTAAGACCTTTCTCCCAACAAAAGCTTTCTGAAGCCAGGAAAGAGCTACCTCACGAAGTGCTGAGCTCTCTAGCACTGGGGGCATGCAAGCAGGTGAGCCCCTCTCAGAGGGATTCAGGGCCTCAGTGGGGACTCAGATGACCTTCAAGTCCCTTCCAAAGCTGAGGTCCCACTGGGGTGGAGGTGAGGGGAGACAATATAAATTGAGACTTCCAGGAGCTTGTGGAGCTTCTTTAAGGAGCCAGAGTGATCAAAACACGTGTCAGGCAAGGAGTGTGCGGGTGAACACGGTCAAGGTGGTGAAGAGCTCCCATCCAAGTGGCAGGCCTGACCAGGCCTACCCTAGCATCCCTGCAAGTTCCCATTGTTGTAGGTTCTGCAGCCTCCCTAGCAGAGAGGAACACACAAGGCTGCTCAAAACTAGGTCACTGCACTCTCAGAAATGAGGGAAGTTAAAAGAAACAAAAGTGAAAGTCCCAGTGCCCAGTCCAAGCTTGGTGCCCAGAAGTCGAAGCCAGGCACCGTTCCCAGTACAAGAAGGGTCCCTGGGCCAGGAGGTCGCAGCAGGGAGGCCGCTCTACCCTGGCTGGGAGCATGGGGCCCACAACCAGCCCGTGGGCAGTCCCAAGCATTCCCTGCTACCCCAGCTAACAGTCCTACTCCAGGCAGCTCCTCTGAGCAGGGCATGGCCCAGGGGAGACAAGTTATCAGTGGTGACCACACCCTGCAAGAGCCACACCTCCTTCTGTACAAAAACCCAAGATCGCAGATAAACAGAGGGAAAAGTCAAAGAAAAACCACCTATCCCCAGTAGGCAGGGAGAGCCCTTAGTCACCTCAAGATGGGGGAAGTGCAGGGCTTCCATCCTCATTTTGTAGGAAAGTGAACTGAGGCTCAGAAATGTCACACAGCCTCAGGATCCAGGCCAGAAGTAGGGAGGGCCAGGCCCACTCACCCCAAGCTCAGGCTATCTCCTGCTTACTGGCCAACTGTTTCTGGGCGCTGGGTCTGTGTGTGCCCTCAACTTCTCACTGCCTTTGTGGTAGTCTCCAGGGCTGCATCCATTTGCATGACTAAGAAACTGAAGCTTGAGAAGGGAAGTAAGCCACACAAATCCCCAACGTAGTCCAGGGATGGGCCTACTGTGGGGACACAAGGGCTTGTCCTGAGCCCCCGGGTCACAAGACAACCTAGGAAATGGATCCAGCTAAGTCGGGCCAGCTGAGGACAGCAACAGAAGGAACGAGACCCCAGGTTGGCAGCTGCCTTTTGACCTCTTAGAGGAAAGAAGAGGAAGGAAGGAAGAGGAGAAAAGCACTACGATTTCTCAAGGGCTTCCTTTGTGTCAAGTCCCCGAGAGGCCCCAGCAAGCTAGGGACCGTGAGGCTGTCGTGACCGGGGCTGCTGCGGACAGCAGAGACTGCCTGGAACTGAGGGACAGGAAGGGCAGCCATTTGCTGGGGTGCAGACTGAAGGAATCCAGATGTGGCTTTTCCGGGGCCCTTTACAGCCCTTTGGGAGCACAGCCTCCAAAGAGTCTGCAGAGTCCTTCTGGCACGGACAGGTTTCTCCCTTAGTACCACCTTCCCCTCTGGAGTCTCTCTGCCTCCTCTGCCCTTTCCAGACTCCTCACCAAGGAGGCCATGCTGGGGGACAGGGCAGGAAATGTAAACAGGCCCCTTCTGTCACCTTGGCAAGAGGCTGGACACTAATCAGGTCCCACCTTTGGGGCAAAGCTGGCTTTGCCTGTTTATCAGGAAGAAGGAGTGAAAAAGTTGATAACTGGGGAAAACAATAAGAATTCCCAGCGGGTAGCTCCTGCTCCTGCAGCCTGCGTTCCTGACAGTTCAAGGTGAACCCCAGCTCTGCCTTTTACCTACTGTGTGATCGGCTCCCATTGTTTAAACCCTCTGGGCTGCATTTCCCCATATATAAAATGGGGGTACCAGTAGCTACCCCACAGAGTAGTTGTGAGGATTAAGTGAATTAATCTATGTGAATGCCAACATAATGAACAGTCATTAAAATGTCAATTAATTTCTTACTGATGCATGGAAACCCTTCAGCTCTGCCTTTGGGAGAACCTGCCCCCACGTGCTCTCTTCCCTGCCTTTAACGTAAGCAGGAATGCCAGTCCAGTAAAACCTTGGTTTGTGAGAATAATTCATTCCACTAATAATGCAAGGCATCCTATATCAAAGCAGAGAGAGAGAGCCAGCTGTGATTATGTGACATTCGGCGTGACATACTGTCCCTGCTGCAAGACACTGCTCATTTATTAAGTTAAAATTTCTTGGAAATGTTTGCTCAACTTACTGAACACTCACAAACCAAGTTACTTGCAATCGAAGGCCGACTGTACTCATGTTGGTTTTAAGCAGAGCGCCTGTAGTCCCAGCTACTTAGGAAGCTGGTGTAGGAGGGTCGCTTAAGCCCAGGAATCTGAGGCCA